CACTTTTTTCTATAGCTTCAACGTGTGATTTTTGCACTCACGCGAAATTCTGTTCAAATATGTCAAGCACTTGCATTGTCTATCTCTTTGACAAAGCTTGTGTCAGTCTCGATATTTTAGTACATTGCCATGTTAAATGTCGATTGCTACAGTTGCTTCTTACCGGAGATGTGCTAATGATAGATGCAGTTGTTTTTCTGTGCCAAACACTGAATGATATTTGAATTTCATTACCTTGGTTCATTCTTGCAGCACCTTGACGCATGCTTGATTCAAACAGCGACTAGCATGTCAAAGTCTTCTTCAGTCATAATTCATATATTGAAGTGAAGCACATTCAGATGCGAGATCTTGGCGACAACCCGCACTTCCCTTCCGATCTCGTAACAGGCGATCGAGAAGCGGATCTGGAGCGGCTAATTACGGAATCAAAACTGTTTATGGCAGTTTCCCATATATTTTGGTCATGCTGGGCACTGCTAAACGGAGTGGTCAGTATATACGTCTAAAAAGAATTTAAAGCGCATACTGAACGTCAAATTATTGCAGAATCCTCCAGTTCAGTTTGACTACAACAGCTATGCAAGAGATCGACTAGCGCTCTACTTCCAGTTGAAACCATCGCTCCAGGCTTTTATGAATAATTGTCAATAGTGATGTCTAGGGCCTTATTTCGAAAATCACTTGAATATTATTACGATAGATTTTATCTCAAAATGTAACATTCGGCTAATTGTGCAACATTTTCGCATGCATAAACAAGATTCTGCTCGTTTAAGTGTCCTAATGTGGACTAAATGGCTCATAGTGAAGACGATTATCGTATAGAAGGCTGTTAATAATCTACCTACAATTAAGAGGCCTTATAGTTTGAAAATACTCAATTCTATATTGAAATTCTTGTAATGAATGCTATTGTACATTCCCATATTGTGAAAGATCTTTAATAAACTCGGTGATTATTGGCAATGTGAGCTACAACAAAATGAACGGAAATTTATTAAATATTG